GCAAACTATCATTGTGGAATCATCACTGGTATTATAGCATGAACTGACAGATCAAGACAGAAGAATGTGTTTGTATCAGCCCCTATGAGAGACATGTCAAATTCAGTCAAATTGTGTAAAGTGCTACTGTTTCTCCATTCCTTCAGATTATAGAATCACACATTTGTAGATGTTGTGAACATAAAATTTTTAACAGCTTTTATGTTTGCATCATGTAGTTCTATTTGAATCTTTGTTAGTTACCATCTTGACACATTTATTTGCAAATAAATTAATGTACTTTGTACAAAACTTATTTTGCCTGAAACATGTCAGTAGATCAGATGACATGAAATATATGATGTGCAAAGTGCATGAATTTACTTGTAAATAACTGTTGTGTGAAGAGTGTAACTAAGAAACATAAAATGTAATGTTATTATGCTATTTTTCTGTATACTTTAACATACCTGTACTTTCCAAATAACAAACGAGACCACTAAATCAGTGTCTTAGGAAGCAACACAATGTTATACAATACATTAGAATGGCACTCAAGTCTGTGTGTTCTGAGAGTGCATTGGCTGAATTAATATCAACTATCAAGAATTTATCCCTGGAACTTGTCATTGCTATAGTAAGAATAATGACATTGTTTGTTATTGTTTTCAATCACTTGAATTGCTTTGATAAAGATTTGCTGTTGTCAGCAGTCCTGGGCTTATTACAAGCCCATATTCAATATATTCATTAGGATAATCTTAGGAACATATTGATTGGCAGTTTTTCATGGTGCAAGTATTAAGCTATGTAATTTAGCCTTGTTGATTTACATTTGAGAGATTTTACAGACAAGTATATTATTTCGTGTTGAACTTGTTATCACTTTTAACTCTGTGTGTGTTTAGAGGTGCATCAGCTCTCGAGGTTACCACTCTTATGAGAAGACGGGTGGGCATCAGTAACATGAAATGAATTACATTTTTTGCCTACATATCATATCAGAATTGTCAAGTTTATTGTGTTGTGTTCACCCTACTAATAGACCTGCAGTACAGTATACAGTAGAAAAAGTATGTCTTTCTCTGTTAAGAATTAACTTTCAGTGTTATGTTAATCATATAAACACAGGTTTTCTGATTAATAGTCAGTGGATTGGTTCAGCATTGTGCTGTAATACCAATTACTCGAATGACACAAGGCTGTTGGAATCAAATACAGTGTAACCACGATAGAACATGCATGGTTTAAAAAAAATTGAGACCTTGAGCAAAATAATTGGATTTGTCAGTTTCTTAATGTTACATACCTGTAAAATTTTATATAAAATGAGCAGTTCCTAACTAGCTGCCAAATTTCTTCCATGACTTTTTCACTGACTGCACTTGCAGTATTTCTTCTTAAGTTATTTATGAATGGTAGTCCACCCTCTCTTGTATTAATGGTTATTTTAATGGTGTATCATCTGGTATGGCTGTTTGTGCCCCTTTCTTGCAGTACTGCTTCTGAAGCTATTTGTGGCTGGTGGTCAATAAACATATCTTTAACCCATCCTCTTTGTCTCTTAGTCTGAGAGAAGAATGTTCTGTTTGTCATTTACCTCAGTTCTTTATGATGGTATTGGGTTAGTATGACACACACACTGGGGCTGTACCCTAGCATAGGCTGTTCACCACCTGTTTCTAACAGTATAGACCATTTTTACTCCGAGTAGTCCATGTGGAATTTTCGTTGACAAAGTGGCATTGGCGCAAGTTATTTCTTCAAATTCTGTGACTTTCCCATATACTTTTCATTCTACCATTACTTCATATTTGCTCATGTGCCATCTGGGGGATGGCCAGTGGGCCTGTTAGTGGTCACATGTACATAGAGACATAGTCTCACCCCATCATAACAAAAAGAAATAATACATGCTACACTCTGCTCAGCAATACCACTCAAAATAACATTTCTCCATTGTAATAACAGTATGAGAAGTGAATATGTGTAAATATAAGAGTAATTAGTACTGCATACATTATTTTTTGGTCAGTAAATACCAAGCCATAACGAGCTGAGCCAAATCTGTAATGTGGAGGCAGTGTGAAGATGGTATGAAAAATATTAAACTTCTTGGTTCAGATAATGCTAAAGATGTTGAGAATGTTGAATTATTTGTTACTTTGATATTACCAGATCCCCACTTCAACAAAGAATAAATATTTCCCTGCATTAATTTGTTTTAAACCTCAGTTCCATACTATAATATGCATAGTTAGACTCAGGTGATGGACAGAGAGATATGCTTTTAGCCATTTTATAAATTCTCGGTATATCGAGGTTGCACTGTGCAGTAGTTCATTGCATAACTGTTTAAGAATGGAGAAGCCAAGGTATCTTTTGAAAAGACTAATACATTTTGGTATTTTCTGGTGCTGGGTATTGACAGTGGTGATAACAGTTTTTCTATTTCTTTACATATGATTTATAATCCATGTGCTTGGATAAACATTCTGTATGTTCCACTTATTTTTATGATGACACAAAGCACTGGCAGTACATTTTGTTGAACACAGATCATAATATCCTGTTATTGTATGTCCCTAAATTTGGATCCATAGTTGAAATAACAAAACTAATGGGACACTTATAGTGTACTGTTGAAATGTTTAATAATAATGCAACATATATCAGCATCTTTTCTTATTATAATGTTATGTGTTATTGTAAATATTTTCTAAACAACTGTTCATAGTCAGAAGTGGATTGATACATTATAAATGTTATGTTATTAAAAATCCATATGCTCTGCTGTTCACTACTTCAGGTATTGCTTTTTGTAAGAACTTTTTCTGAGCCATATGAAGAATGTTTCTTAATAACATATGCATGAATTACTTGATGCATCAAATTGGCATTTCTGTCTTTTGAGTTTGATTTTTTAAATTCTGTTGTTCTTTAATTTAGTCAATTACAAATTGTTTTTCTTAAAGGGCCTATGTAATCCAAACAGATGTTTTAAACCTGAATTTATGTGACTGCACAGAACTGTCTCATTTCTTTAACTGATATCTTAATTGAACAGCAGAGGGAATGAGGGTCATGTGACATTGTATATCTTGATGTAAATAAACGAACATACCAATATATGCAAAGCTATTGCTGTTTTTTCTTTTTATAAGAAGTTTGTTATGACAAATTGGGTATAATCTATATGTATTAGTAAAACAAATTCCTGCTTGTGTATAGCTATTTTTACACAAAACGACTGATGGCAGGAAGAATGGAGGCCAGTAGGACATGCTGCAATTAATATAGTTTCAATATCCCTTAACAGAGACTGAATATTTCCAAGACCAAGCACACCACATACCCATATACATACAACTGTTCTATAGGGGGAGTGGTGAACAATGTATATGGGTACAGGAACCAGCATGAGGAGTTCAGTAAATTTTCATCTTAGGGGAGGTAAATGGTTTTCAATATGTGTGTAATAAAATATCAAAATTTACCTTAATTCCAGGGAGTTACAAGTAAATTATACTCATCTTGGTTCAGAGGGCTGAGAATGCGTAAGACTTCTCCATGCTTCATGCTGCTACAGTTTTTTTTTTATTATTAGTGTTCTGTCTGACGACAGGTCCGTTTCCTCGGCAAATGATTCAGAAGTGGTTTGCCATTGCCTTCTTCTGTATGTAAATGATGATGAATGTGAAGTAATTGTTGGGATGCCACGGAGAAACCGGGGAAGCCCTGGAGGAAAACTCCGTGATACCTGAACCATGGCCTTGCCCAACACAAGTTATAAATTTGGGCACCACCGGAAATCGAACCCGGGACCCCAGGATTACAAGGCCAGCGTTCTAACCGCTAGACCACCTTGGTGGTGGCTGGTACAGTACTTCAACAAATACAAGGGAAATTTTCACAAACTTTTTATACAAATAATGTCTTTCAAACCACAGAAACAAACAAAAATCTGAAATATTTAGTGCCTGTTAAATAAAAATTAAATAAACACACATTCATTTACTTTTAACAATGACTTTATAAAAATCTAAAGTCAGAAAATTTCACAACATAATGGGCAAATGTGTTTCTGATTCTTATCTTCATACTTATTCACATGAAGATGTTTAGCAGAATAATTAAACAAATTTCACTTTGAGAAAATGCAAATGGGCCTTCGGGTAAACCTCAAGCAAATATTCAGGGCAGTCTTTAAAGCTGTGAGAATCCTTTTGGGAATTTCACTACCACTGGAAATAAAGATTTATTCAGCAGATATGGCCCATGTAAACAAAAGGTCTGATCTGAGCTCATATGGAAGGTAAAGACAATTTTCTGATAAACATGTTTGGCCCAATTAAGTTATTAATTTTCTTTTGGTCATCAGTGTTTTATATGTTATAAAAATATGATCTCAATTACTAACAATATATTCACAGAAATGGACTCTTTCATAACAATCACACTGTTAGAAATGCTAGCAGCTGAGAACATGACGCCTTACAATTGTGACTTGTCTAAAAAAAATGACTTCTTTCTAACAGATGCATATTTGCTCGCCAAAATCTACCAGTTTTAGATTAATTTGGGGGTATATGGTAATTATTTAAAGCAAAAAATTTGGAAGAACAGTTTTCATATGTTCTGAGGTGGTGTTCAGTAGACATAAACCTTCAGACAAACCGCATCAGATTGTACATTACTATAAATGTTTCAAACCACACGCCTTATGCATTAGTCATAAAAATGAGTATAGAAAATCAGACACACAAAACAGACTAAACATACCTTCAAATTTTCACACAGCTCAATATTTCATATCGACAAAGAGATGTGTATTATTCAATTTGCATTACCTGTCTTTCTTGAAAACACTTTATTACAGTAGTCACAATTTGTTAGAATGTATTAAAACAGAGCTCCTTGAGAACACATGCCAAATTAACATCACACAGCAAACCACCTGAGAATGATTTGCTAGAAGCTAGTGTGGATAATTTATTAATGGTTATCTTTAGTTAATACATCTGCAGGCACATATTCTGATAAATTTTCTAACTCGCCTTTTTTTTCAAACATTTAGCATGAATTCATTTTCTTTTATCCCACGTGATCTGCAGTTTAACAGACTGACCTTTACACATAATTTGTCACATATTTGTGATATTCAGAAGCTGGAGATGCTACTACATTTATCACTTGTAAAAATAATCCAAACATTAACAAACAAAATTAATATGATCCTTAATATATGTTTTGGAGCTGAAGAAATTTATACCTTTTCCTTTAATTATGCATAATGAGTGCAAATGTAAGTATACTCTGGCCTCACTACATATTAACATAGGTACAGACTGGGTGCTCACTGTCTTGGCACTTCTGAAAAAACTTCAAACAATTTATATTTGGTCTTGCAAAATTATCTCTGTGGACCAAATTGTGTCAGGCTCCAAGTGCCTTAAATATGACAAAATGAAGTTCCTACTGTACTTAACAACTTGCAGCAATGTTGAAAACAATATACATATTACCAAATTCATGCTCTTCTTGAACATATAAAAAATCTAAAATGTTATATACATACAACAAAGCATGTATTGCTAGGTGGAAAGTACAATGGAACATTACCAGTATTTCATTTTGCATTTGTAATACATTTTTATTATGAACTTCATTGTGTTTCATTTGTGGATCAGTCTTACATAAACAATAATAGTTGCCGACAATGTATTAATCATCGTGGATGCGGTTAAATGAGCTGAATGTTCAAGCATACATAGCACAACTTTGATAAAGTGCCTTTATTTTGTTCACTCTGATCAGTCAATTAACCGCCAATAAGCACTTGGCCTGGTAACTTTCTAAGAGGCACAAGGCAAGAAGATAGTTTCAGGCCATGTAAATGAATGTGTTGATATCATCTTCATCCCGTTTCATATACTTATGCTCAATAAGCCACTCTATCTGTTCTTTTATCATTTTCTTACTAGGAAGAAACATATTTTTGAGAATATCAACCAATTCTGTTTGGAGTTGAACGTTGGTGATTCGTTTCCGCATCTTGAGTATCTTGATAATTGCTTCCTGTAAAAGTACTGTTATTGAGTATGGACGTCAACATGAGATTCATAACATTTTGTTTGGGACAATACATTTATAAACTCTAAACAATCTAAAGTGTCATAAAATAAAAAATTATCACATCCACAAACTAACTCATATCTGGCAACTGATGCATACCCTAAAACTGGCACATCCATACACTCTGGTATAAGCAAACTTCCAAAACAATTATTAATTATTAATTTTTATTCAAAATCAGCGATGTAAGAATTACGATTTAGTATAAGAATCAGTACGAGAAACATTGTAAAACGTTATAAATAATAGTAAAATATATTTTTTTCACTTTTTGACTTGCTGGTTTCAATAGCGGCGTTATTCTGAATCAGCGCAAATTGAAGCGGCTCAAATCGAGGGTTACCTGTATATCTACATTAGTAGTCACTTAATAAAAGCATATAAACATATCACACATAAAACAGTAAATCTGACCTGAACTCTAAGTATCCTGAGCTGAACAATACTTTCATTATCTTCCTCTTTGCTTCTCTCTGTTGATAACTGTAATCTACCCACTAGATTCACTTTTCCACGTTTTTGTAGCTTTCCATTTTTGCTGTAAAAATATTAGTTGTAAGTAACAATAATAAAAATTATAAGCTTAACTGTATAACACATAAATTCAATTCTAAAACTTACATACTTTTTGTTTGAAGAATACTGAATGATTAACACCATTAGGCTGCCTAAAATACCTTCTTATGCATACAATATTACTCAAAACATTGGGCCCTGGTAGTTTGTAACAATTTCTACATTATTTTTCCTGTATTACTGGCTGAAGGAAGCACTAAAATTTACAATTTCATCTGTCAAACATACTATTTGTATTAGCAGATTCCACATTATTTTTCAATATTCTTTATATAAAATATGACTTATAGTCATGCATTTGTATGAGAGACCATTAAAAATTTCCCTACTATATGTTTAAACCAAAATGCACCTCAGTGATTTTCATATTCTTCTGCTAGACTGTTTTTAACAAGACAGGCATTTCTGGCTTTCAAAATGTATTTTTCTGATGTACTGTTAGGTGAGTGACTGGTCCCATAGCACACAATATATGCACAGTTCATAATAGACATTGACATACTTCAAGTTATTTTCATGCATATTCAGTGCAGAAATATTAAAACAAAGTTTTGACAAGCCGTTATGACAGATATACCTCTACCATGAATATAAGGTGTGATAGAAAATTTCTGAACTGGCTGCAAGCTGACATTGTTCAAAGAGAAACTTCAAACTACACCTGCTAAATTCAAAACAAAAGACTTTCACAGAGTTTCTAATAATGAGAGAATCGCTGTTATGAGGTCACAACAGAATTACTTCAAAGATGAAAGCATGGAATAGCCACTAAATTCAAGAAGTGTGAAAACAAACTTTTTGTCCTGAAAGTTTCTTGATCATCATCATGCTCAATAAACAGCATTGATAATCTTAGTGACTGAATTAAGAAGTATAATTAATACTCAGAAAAATACTAATTTCATTCAATACATTTATGTACAACATTTAACCACAACTTATAAAAAATATTGTATCAGTAAACTAGTAACTTACACATGTGAAATACGTAATACAGACAACATACACACTTACACCAATGCAAACTCCTGGTTTACCCAGAACATTGTATTTTCATCAAAATCCTTTGGAGACTGAACTTCAGGAGTAAACAAAAGAACTTGTTTCTTTAGTTTTGGAAATGCTACTAGAGACTGAAATTGAAAGAAGTAGAATATATTCAGTTAAATTACATTACAAAAATATTATATGTGCACACACACAAACAATGATTACTAAATCAAAATGTATTATATCAACATTAAAGTCCTTCCAAATTAAACATATGTACATGTTACAGTGAAGGTCATTAAGAAATGCAGAAGATGGTCATCTTCATACCTGTCATCATGAGAACCTGAAATCTCACATTTCCTACCTTAATTGGAAGTCTGATACTTCCACAGTACCTAAAAGCATTTTATAATTTTCAATGCAGGATTTGTAAAGTCTACAAATATGAGGTAGATGAAGAACAGTGAAATGTGATATTGTGACATGACCTGTCAACATTACTTCAATTTATTACACTAATATTGTAAAGAGACGTCTACCATATATCAATATCCTCCACTTTATATGAATGTGATGTGTGTTTTTAATAGAGAGTGATCTATTTCATGTTTGTCTTCTAGTGCAGTGGTATTCAACCTTTTTTGTTTGCGTACCCCCAGATATAATTTCTCTTCAACTTTGTACCCCCAAAGTTACTGGTGTATAATTCAAGTTATACATAGTATATAATCTACATCTAAAATAAATTAAATAAATTACATTACTGATTACTCAGTGTTTATCATAAAATAATACATATATATTTTTAAATTTCACATACCCCCTAAGATGTCTTCGCGTACCCCCGGGGGTACGTGTACCCAGGTTGAATACCACTGTTTTAGTGAACGAATGTATTCTTCTCGAGAAGTTTCATAAAATAAACTATAGAAATTTCTTATTATACCAATGTTGTGAATATTCTTCCTGAGTAAAATTATGAAAACCTGCAAGATAGCTGATATGATACATAATCAATATCTGAATCAAGTATGACTGGAGATGTGTTAATGCTACACTAACCTCCTTAGCAGAAAATTGTACTAAGGAAGAATTGGATTCACTAATACAATTTTGCATTGTTAGATTCAAAAGAAACAAACCAATCAAGCTTTCATTATTATATACACACAAATTTAAATCACAAGGAAGCATTACATACCCATAACGTTCTTCTGAGTTCTGGATCAGGTAGTTCTGTTGCTAACCTTAAATTCTCGTATGAAATTCTATCGAGTGGGCGCTGATTCCATGCAAAGAGTACTGCCATCTGGAATGTTGTTACATCAACATCAAATCTTCCTACTGCATTTGCAAATGTTATCTGCAAAAATAAAAGTGTTTTTTTGAAAAGCCAGTGCTCTGAAACTGGCCAAACTAACTTATATTAATAAAATTATTATAATTATTACTGATTCAAACCACACTAGTGAAAATTACAAAAACTAAATTTTACTTTATACATCACATTATTTTAAAATTGCCAATCATTCTCATAATTAAAGATAATTATATTTTTACACTAAACACTTACTAAGTCTGTGACTGATAATGCTATAATCTAATGCTGTTAGAATACAAAATATATAATGTGATCTATTTCTGGAATTCTCCAGGGTAGGTAATTAGAGACAGCACTTTGACATAGAGGGTCTGTGAACATCCTTTCGGACCAGAGAACTTTCTTCATGTGTGCATATGGTACCTCAGAACACAAATTGCCACAATAAACTATGGTGCATCCCACAAATAATACAAACCGTGCCATTAGACATATGATGGTACCACTGCAGTTTCCTGCCACTGTGTTTTTTCTTATAGAAATCTTCAACTTCTGGGATATAATCTTCAAGTTCCAGAGGAAGAGAAACAGTGACCCGTTCACTACCCCTAGCCCAAGCACCCGCATTCAAAATCTTGATATTAATTGAATCTAAGAGAAGAAGATAAAAAAAAAGTTCAGATCTTCTGGTGTGAGAATGTTATTGAATTCCAAACAAAAGCAAAACTCCTTTATCAATCATTATAACCACACAAACACAGAAATGAAAAGATGGAGACAAAGTAGATTATATCACTGGCATCCTAAAGACAAAGCTGTATTTTCCTTGGAAACTAAATTCAATGGCCTATGGTATACTGCAACTATCATATGCTTAAGAAACTAGCACACTAATCCAAATTCTTAACAAAAAATGTAATATAATGATTTAGTTTTAAATACAGACCTTTATATCAGATGTTACTAATCAAAATTTGTATTTATGTTTATAAAATGTTATTATACAAAAGTCTGTATGTGCAGAATAAAGGCTTTTTCAACCATCAAGAAAGAAAAATTAAATACACAGCTTCAGTCAATGACAATATTCTGAATGCTACTGTAACAGTAGTGAGCTTCCAATAATGCCATGCCAAGATTCATGGAAACCAGCCACTTGGTAAAAGCACACGCACATGTGTTCTAACACACAGACATAAGAAGAAACTGTAAGATTTGCATTTATTATGAAATACAGAAGAAGGTAAAAAATTCAGTCAATAATGATAATAGAATCAATACCATATTTTAATATGTGAAATATATTACGTACAAGTACAGGTACAATTTTTCAGTGAATCAAAATGAACTAAATACGAAAGCAACCAAATATACATTTCACTGCAATTCGTTCACTCACCTGCTATGCTACCTCTTGTGCTTCTGTATTGCTCTTTGAACTGTTGGTTCAGATCTTCACTGACTTTAATATCTTGGAACATCCTAGCTAGTTTATTTACATAATCTGCTGGCATACCAACTTCTCTAAGCCTGTAAGAGAACAAAAGTTTAACGTATGCTAATTGTATGTATATATGTATGTATGGTAATTTATACAGTGGAAGTGGACTATACACCTCTATTAGAAAAACATTCCATTGCTCAATAATATGAGGGCGGTTCAAATTTTACCTGGAATTTTCACTGTCACTGGCAACATGCTGCCCCAAAACTTCTACGCTGTGGGAATGGGAAAAGTATGCACATATGAGGGGAGAGTACCTCAATACAACTAATATGAAACAGGTGAGATGATTTATTGACACACAATGATCACAACCCCAGATCAAAATAATAAAAAGGACTGGAGACACTTCATCCAACCACCTGTACAAAATGGAAATTATGACAGAAGAACAGAAAAGAAAATTGTTTTATTTCAAGTTGTTTATTAGACTTCAACCTCCATTGCATTTGACAAATTTATTTTACACATACACAAATGAATGTGTACATGCCAATGTGCGCAAGCACAAAAACTAGAGAAATTGGACATTCTTTTCTTGGAAGTAAAACTGTTCTGTCATAATGAAATCAGTTAACGATTATGACTATCTGATATATTCCAGATGACCAGAAAAGTTACTTAAATCTTTTGAATATATATTTTCACTGGGGGAAAGAATAAGTGTCAATTATCACCTAGAATCTTCTTTAAACAAACTGTGCTGAAATAACAAAACTACTTATTTATATGACATTACTGTTCTGGACCTGCAGTGTGAGAATGCGTGCCCTCCACCCCCTGCAAGTTCTCAGTGGATGCTGTATTACATCACCAGTCTGCTAACGGGTTTGAGTAATGTGACGGAGAAACCTGAAGGGTCTCACTGTATCTTAAGAGCTCCTAGACCATTTCTGAACAAAGTTAATGCTCCCTGAACACTATGAATCAATGTAAGACTAGCCTAGCCTAGCCTAGCATGAATTAGGATAGTACTAAGTAAGCAAACGAATGAGTTGGTCATGCCCACCGAGTTTCATATGAACTGCTGTTGCTGATAAATCGAGGAAGAGTGAGAAAGAGACTTAAATTGAGAGTCTCTAATATTACCTGTGCAAATACAGATAAGAAGCAAGATGACAGTAGATGAGCGCAGTCTGAAGAAGTACTCTGACTTGAACATAAATTAAGAAAACCATTATTACAAGTGTGATTTGTAGACTGACAGAACATTAATTCAAGAAGATGAAGAAGAATCAACCATACAGTTGTGCAGGATAGATCTAATTTAAACAAGAACCCACGTATAATTACCGATATTATAAATATATGTTTCCATTAAGCAATGCTCTATTATTTATACACAGAGATTGCATTATGCAATAAACAAATAACAAACAATAGAACAATGGCAGACACAGATCACACATGAAGAAATGGAGCACACTTAATAAAATTATTTTATATATTTTCCTCTATGTGTGTGCATTTAATTTTCATTCACTGAAAAATGTAAGTAACATCATGACTCATCTGAACGTATGCACCAGACACAGTACAATATACAACGTAGTACAGTTTCTTAATAAAAAACTGGTTATTTCAAAGCCCATTTTGGTCGTCTTTCAATTAAATTGAGGTTCAACTACATAAATAACTCAATTATCTCAGAATTCACCTATTTTCTACATACTTACCATTCTACCATATTTTCTTCTTTTTCTGAATCAGCTGAAGTGTCCAGAATTAGCCTCCGTGTTAGATGAGCTTTATGATACCTCATGAAAACATCTTTATTCTGGACATACTTTAGCACTAAGAGCTGTGTGAAAATAAAAATGCTTATGAAAATGTTTCCAACATGCATTCTTCTTACTGCCTTTATCAGAAATCAATAAAGATAATTTATATACAGGCATGTGCAAGAATCTCAATTATTACAAAGCATGACCTCAGGTAAAATAAAGAAATGAAGTAGAAAAATACCAGTAATGTTAAAATCAGAAATAATTACAATTATGACAAAGTATAGATTCAATGACTGCTGGCATGGTATAACTTAAAAGAGCATACAAAATTAACCCAATTGTACTTATTTAAACTAATGACTTTATATTCACTTAATCTGAGACCTTCCGATCATTACAGATTGGAACTTTCATGGTTTCCACATGAAATTTGCTACTAGTATCAGAGATATTTAATTTGTTCTTAATTTAGGTTTGTAATTATAACACAGTAAAATTCCAAACTGTGAAGTTACTAATGATAAGAACTGGAAATCCTTTTAGAAGTAAATGGAAGGCTGAAGAACAGTGATATAGCCATGAAATACACTATTATTTCACCAATTCTAGAAGTTATACCTTATGCAAATGTGTCAAGATTTTTATTTATCCTTTTACAAGTTGTGCCTGGCCCAATGAAAGACTAACAGACAATGATGGAAATATTTGGTCAAGATTAAAATATTGTCAAGATCAGCTCTGTGGCACATGCAGCCACCTATTCAATGGTACTGGATATTTTCCCCCTGGGGTAAGGAGGATAAGGCGTGGAGTTAACCACCCACTTTCAACTAGTGCTAAGGTCAAGAAAGAGAGGAGCCAAACCACCATTCCCCCATGTGCCTTTATGGTGTAGTGCTTACTAAGCACTAGGAATAACTGTACCTTACAGTGTTTCTCCTACAGAACAAGATGAAGAAAAATCATCTTCTGCCACATTTTGTACTCAAAATTTTAAATGTTCTCACCAGACTGTGCAATGATCTGCAGAAGTACGATGCCATGTGTAGCTTGATTTCTACTTCATCATAAGCTGCAATGTTATATTGCGTGCTGTTTCCCATTTCCCAGACTACAGATATGCACAATATAATTGTTTCTTTGTTATATTTAAAGTAAAGAAAAATGGAAAACTTAATTAATTTCTTAAAGTAAGAGGTTTACCTTGGGTTGCTACAAGTGCTGCAAAAACCTGACCAAATGGCAGTTCATAAAAGTAACCTGAGAATTTAAAGGATTCATAAATCATGGATGTACCAGATGAATAGTACCTTCAGGTATAACATTTATAATTCTGTGACAGACATTAAACATCATATAACATAAACCTTCATATGTAAATACACAGAAGAGTGAAATTCATCATTACACGAGTGCAGAAATAAATTGACAGAAACATACTATCTCTGTCTTCAGGGCTGAAGATGGAAAGGGTATGTTTCCCTGAAATATCAGTATCTACCTATGAGTCCACATAGTGTCACAACCCAGAAGAACAACATTAACATCTTCACTGCCACAAGAACCTAAAATCACATTCATTTTGTGTTGCCTTATCAAACATACATATTTAAATAAAACAAGTGCAGTGAACACAGCAGGCTAAGCTAACAGATTAAATAATGGCTAACTTGCAGTTAACCAAATATTATAAACAAATGCTTGCAAGATGGCCACAAACTCATCAGAGTAGTCAATAGATGAAATAAAAATTTACTAGTCATTACAAAAATGGCACAAAACTCAGGAGAATTAAATTGACATATATTTTTCAGAAACTAAAACCATTTAAATGATAGGAAAATTAATGGAACAAAATCAATTATGTAAACTTCAGAAAAAATATGCATTCTGGAAATATACGTTCAAGTTTTTACTGTATATCATAAAGAAACAGGACATGAGGATATGTACAGGATTCTCATGGCATGTCCTAGTGAACACAATAATGTTTTAATTCCAAAAAATTTGAAGAATTTTTGACTGGTTGTGTAACTCTCACCTTCTCAAGGAGGACTCTGTGCCAAGAGTTTTTTATCTCATAGGCATATTAAAGCATTTTAAATGATGGCTCAGCATATAATTTTAAATTGGTGCTTCTAGTTTACAGAACTTATTTCTCAACAACTTAATTATGATGTAACATATACCCGAATATAATCTGTATGCCTCATATCACCAGCATACTGTTTTGCAAATCTGAAGTCATTCTGCAACCAGTAAGTTCCCCATCCTCGATCCATTATTTCCTAGACTGGACCACCATGTCATTGCCAGTTCTCGGCCGACAGATTCTTAACTTGAACACCACGTGAACCCTAAGATAAGATTCCTACGCTCCTCTGGGAGCTATAGTAAGAACACCTACTACCATAATCAAGCATACTGAAGTTAACAAGAGGGGACAATTATACAGTATCAAAACTTTGTTTTTACAAACATACTTTTAAAGTCTGCAGGATGAAGTTCACTGTGATGACATTTCACTCTACAAATTGGATTGCTTGTTAACAGTATGTATACTAGAACATGAAGTAAACTTACTACATTCCTCAATTTGCTTTCTATTTCATCAGAGGTGAGTTTCTTACTAAGTGGAGTTTTCCTTAACAGCATATCACAGTAGTTGGCTAATAATTCAGGACACTTAGACTCAGGTTGAGATTTCAGACCAGCATTCTGCAAAATCATTAAATAATAAATTATTAATACGCATATAACATTAATATCATGGGGAAATTTGAAACCAATATTACAATATCTGAATTTAGCAACCTATCCACAAGAAAGTGTCTAACACAATTTTTTGAAAGTGGCCAACAGTGTGAGTCTGGAAGAACAATGGTCTTAAACATATGGTAAGAATGCCAATAATACACCTCGTTATGGTTCTATAAAATGAACTATTATTAAGTGATTGTCAATAGGATAAACATTTTCTGAAAACATGGTTTAAAATGTAATTTGATATGATCTGTGTATATTTCTGCAGTAAATAAGCACACTGTTACATTATCATTTGAACAGTACGCTTCTGCAAGTCTTGGTCACTGTCACGTGCCAACTTTATATTTTAGTAAGCTACTCAAGTTTCATATGATGGTGCAATGTTTAAAAGATAAAAGTCATTTTGTACACAAGTAGTTAGGAACAAAAATTAAAATAATAGTACAACAGCCACAGCTCTATTTGGCCTAAATATCATTGATTATATGGTATTTAGTTCCTTACTGTACCTGAGATTGATTTCATCCTTTGGTGTTCTTTTGTTCTTATTTTCTATAAGATAATTGTTCAGACATTTTGAAGATCTAAATTTTAACATATTCTAGATTTATAAGTATAATGACTATCAAGTTTGTTTCTGTATTTCTGTAAACAGCTGTGAGCACTTTTTCATAAATTCACTGTGAGAATAATGTTCTGACAGCAATAACCTAGTCTTGTTTATAATTGTGTACAGATGAGACATTACCTGTCTACTTGGCAATTCTAATCGAAATACTTGTGTGTCATTTACAACTTGTTTGTAGGCTTTATCTCTGGCAGTGAGAAATCTTGGGTCATCATTAAAAGCTTCTTTCACTAGCAAGCTGAACTGATTGAACAATTCCAACAACCTCTCCACATATTTCTCAGAATCCTGTAAAGACACACAAAAAAAGTAACAGCTACTAAATTAAAAAAGTTCTGAACTTAAATGTTCATTCACAGACAAGCTCCACAAATAAATTCAATACAATATTTTTCCACACAATTTTACTCAAATACATTCTATTAGACCTACTAATGGCAAACAAACTCCAATAATTAAGTAATTTATAGTTACATTATATTATCCTTCTGTCTTCACATTTCTTTCCATCCTCTGTCTGCCTGGTGGATGCTATGAGACCACATGCATAAATAATTTACATTTACCATGGCTTCATTTTTGGCAGCCATGAAATGTTCAACGCATGAAGTGATCTAATTGGTATGTACAGCTTTATCACCATTTGGTGCCACAGAGATTAATAGAAGGATGCATAATGTTATGTCCTATTGTTTTTAGAACCTGAATTTAATAATAAAAACAATAATTCTGTTTCTTCCTTATACTGCACTGACTTTCTTGTGATAGATTAGGTTACCCTGTTATTTAATTACATTGTATATGAAGTTTATTAAAGTTTAAAGTAGAGAAATAATCCCCTACACAAAGAGGTACAATAATTAAAGATGTGTGTAATAATAAACAAGCAGTTTAATTATTTTAGTACAGTTTATTTTAAGAAGAATCATAGAAACAATACTGATTTTTGTGGCCAAATGGTTTTAACATTTGTGCATTGTATTTGGAAGGTCCTAGGTTCAAATCTTTGCCTGAAGACCACCTATTTCTCCAGGCAACATCCTATTCACCCTGTACAACACCACCTAAAATTATACTGTTAAACTTAAGAACTTGACTGCAACAACATTACCATTTAAAAAATTTACAAATGGAACATCAAATATTCAATAAAAAAATCAAAATATGTTCAGAAAATGTATACGTATTGTGGTTTAATATTTCTTCTTACCTGTGTAATAATGTCAGCAGCAGCTATCATATCTGCCAGTCCAGCATTCACTATATGATCTTCCAAGTCTTTTAACATGGGAGCAATACCATCCGGAACTCGATCCATTAACTTAAACATTAAATGGAGTCCTGAAAGCAACAAGTATAGATTACATGATAATTTCACAAGAACACAACATGAAAATATTTAATATAAGCAATGAAAATGACAGCATAAACAACTAAAACAACAACAATAATGATAAGAATAACGTACTATATTATTTTTCTGAGAATATTTAGGCGTTGCCGGACACGGAAATGAAATGAACGACTGCCATTGGGTTTAAACTTTGCTTTATAACCGACAATAAATAATGAAAGAAGTAATTTAATTCTAGTAATTCAAATTGATGGTACTGTGGAAACATAAACGTCTTGCAGATTGTCTGAAGACTGAGGGACAGATTCAACAAGCATATATTTACAGCCATTAACACTGTCCCTAAAACTGACACCTGAATGAATCTGTTTCGTAAAGAGACTCCCTCCTACTCATTCTTAGCCTTGGCACTAAATAGGGGTGAGTGGTCAGTGTCATGACCTGGCTGTGCTTTAACCCTGGGAAAGGACTCCAATATTCATTGAAGAGGAGGCTGGATGGGCCCCAGAGCCAGTCTGGACATAGAGGCTGGAGGAAACATCCTCTGCCCCTGTCAAGAATCAAAGCCCAATCATCCAGTCCGTAGTCAGTCACTATACTGACTGAGCTACACCGGCTCCATATAAGTATAAAGTATTTATGATTTACATACGTCTTTCCTTTATTTAATTCTCTTTTCCTCCTCCTTTCTTTCTAAGAAAACAGAATATGACTGCAATGTTCTGATCAAGTCTACTCAACTACACAAAGAAAGAACTAACTTTTTGGAGCACAGTCCTTCATGAAAAGCTAATAGTCACTCAGCTAGTTGAGTAGTTCCCAACCTTTTATGGAACCAAAAGGTTCATTACTATGTTTGTAAGGACCAAGATGAAATCAAGCATAGTTTATCACTGCAACAAATAGTTTAAACAAGATGTATCATTATAACTTACTCTCTGTTTCATTTCCTTTAATCATACCAGCACATTCAGCAAGAATTGTGGACTTAAATGTTGATACTAGAACATTAACACAGCATTCTGTAAGCTAAAACAAAATAAGGTTACATGCTTTAACATCAAGAAAATTCAAAGCAGCTTATTTTCAAATTACCTCCCATCAATATTAGAATAAAAATATAAAAGTCTGCATTTTATGGAAATTCAGTGTTTAAAATTTGAAATTTTTAATCATGTTTTTCATATACCTTGTTTTGCTAAGCTAATAAAAATGTCTTGTTACATGTTTCCACTAAAATATCATGTAAAGGCAATAATATTTCAAAATATACTGATAGCATATTCCTCAGTGCACTACTGATAAATGTGAGAAGATATGTAATTAAGCTATTAGTTGTTATGCAATGAATAACCGATATAGTGTAAATGCTTTGTCTGTTCCTTCAGAAGATTTGACATGTGTCTGAGGCAGTATATGTAAGCACAAATTAGATAAAGTACTTAAATCCATATCTATTTAACCAACAATTTATGGCTAAAAGAAGTAAAATCATGACATTTACTTTTATTTTTTCTGAAATTTGTCTAAAAGTAGAAGTATACAAATTATGCAAGTTACATAAATTTCAGAAACTGTCACTTTCTCCATACCAGACAGTTGAAAATGCCTAACAAAAATTCTAACACAACAGTATATTGATATTATGTACTACATATCCAACAATCATTAATCTTCACGTAAATTTTGTAATGTACTTACAACTTGCACTGACCCACTACATGATTCAAGGTACTTCTGTGCACGCTGCTCTTCTTCCCTAAGTTTGGCATCAGCATATTTCATGTAATTCTGAACACCATTTGTTTGAAGATACTGAGGTGCTTTCATTTTATAGAATGCTTCCGTTGCTTCCATATAAGCTTTCTCAAAATTTTCACGGTAGATCTGAAGCTTATCTTCAGGGTTTGAACACAGATTTACTGTAATGAAATAATAATCTCATATGCACTCATGTTAAAACAACTGACAAAACACTGTAAACCGGGAAAATACTTTGGCATGTTGGGATAAAGTTACTAATATAATTAAATAACATCTGCTTTCACTAATGTACAATGAATTACATACACACAACATTGTATCCAGTACTTCTCTTTATACATCAATCATTTCCACATTTCTATACTTTCTGATAACAGAAAATATACATTACTAGAATTCATCAAATGCATATAAGCAAGAAGTGATAAACAGGCAAAAATAAACCGATTAGTTAATATTGTTCCACATTAATGCATGTTCCACTGTTACTTCTACACAATCAGTATCAAAATCAGGGTTTACCACCTATCAAATAAGACTTATTACTGACAGGAAGGAAGGAAGAAACATGAGCACTCCTTATAATCTTAATGTCAGGAAAATCTGCATCACATATAAATGTTCCTTAAAGGCATATTTTCATCACTAAACATGACCACATGTCACTCCACCCTATGCTCTTAGCTATGAACTCAGGAAGTGCTACTGTCAAATGCATAATCAATGTCCACAAAAGCTCCCAGAGTTACAAGCCTATCCTCGAGTGCCCAAATATGCATTAAAATATTTATCAAACCATGCTGCCTTTAAGGAGCAATACCATTTATCAAAAAGTATAAATGTTTAAAACCACTATTAATTACCATAAGATTCCCTGACTCCAATAACCAACTGTGAATCAAATGCTTCTCCATTCCTCTCTGCATGCACCAACTTCATGGCGGAGTCCTGCAATCGCTGTTTAATGTCACAAAATATGCTTTGATTCCAGCTGTCCAACATCAACTAAAACAAGAATATAACAATTACAGCAATATTCCTCTGATAAAAAATAATCTGTTCAACTATACATCTTCTCAATGCAGCATCAAGAAACTGCTTGCTTCTTATGAAATGATAAGGCTTATTACTGTGTTCATAACAGCTTGTAATTGGACATGATCCTAAGTCAAGAAAATTCAGTTCACACCCCATGATCCATTTTACTATTATCTTACCACCTATGCTTAGGTCTACCATGTGGTCCCTTTCATGCACTTTCCTGGTTAGAACTGTGTATGCATTTCACATCTTTTATACAAATGCTACTTCCTGCTAATTTCATCCTCTCTTATTTGACCATCCTAACAATATTTGGTGAAAAGCACAAATTACAAGGCACCTGATTAAGTAACACTTTCAACCCTCTTGCTCCATCCTACCCTTTAGGTCCAAGTATTCTCCCCATGACTTTCTTTCCAAAAACCTTCATCTATGGTCTTCCCTTAGGTTTGGAGACCAGATTTCACAACCACAAAGAAGAAAAGTAAAATTATAGCTTTTACACATTAATCTTAGGATTTCATATTGGATGCAGGACAACAAAAGAATAAAGCAAACATTCTATTGAATTCAATCTTCTCTTAATTTAATCTTGAAAGTAACTTGTGTTTCATATCATGCCACAGTACCTGCAATTTAGCTACCTCATGACTACCCTGAATTCTGGTGATCAAACATGAACACTTACTTAGGCTTCTCAGTGTGTGCTATTTCTATAAAAATCAAACTAATCTCTTCAAAAATATGATAATTACAATTAATTCTGGGATATAACCTGAAACACTGAAGTAATGTTTCAGTACTCTGCCTTTTTAAAATTCAATTTTATCAATTTAAAATAAAAACTTCTCCTTTACTTGAGTTTCCCTATACAGTCAAACCTCGGTTCACGAACTTAATTCGTTCCTGAAGGTCGTTCGTAAACCGAAACTATTTTCCCCATAGGAATTAATGTAAAATGAATTAATCCGTTCCAGGACCCCAGATGATTGCTTATTTAACATTTTACAACAGTACTTTGTGCACAAGTTCTTAACACAAAATCAATGGAAACCATTAAATCTATCACAAAGAAGATAAACACAACACCAAGCAGATCAAATATAGACGAAAACTTAATTTAGTTTTACCGTACCTGTATGGAGGAGAGTTGACGGCGTAAGTGGAAAGTGGTGAGGAAGTGAAATGTTATTGTTTGGAAGGGGATTCTTTTTCTTTTTTCTGTCTCTTGGCACCACTCGACTCTGCATCAGACTCACTGGGCCTCTGTCTCACTAAAAAGTTGTCCAGTGTGATTTGTTTTTGTCTACGTTTTAAAATGTTTCTCAAGTGACATATAGCATTATCATTGAAAATGTTTATGATGCGGCTTGCTACTGCTACACGAACACCATTTTCATGTTTGGCTATGATTTCTTTCTTAACATCTATCATGATATTGGTATTTTTTCTTTTCACTTTGCTGCTATCATTGTCTTTCTTTGGCCCCATGCTGGATCATTCTTCTACGAATACTGCCGACGCTGATACTCCCAGCTTATCACTCCACGATATTGACGGCTTGCGTGTTCGTAACTCGAGACACAGTATGTCATCCAAGACGCTTTGTGTTCGGAAAATTTGTTCGTAAACTGAACTGTTCGTGATCCGAGGTTTGACTGTACATTCAATACAACAAACTCTTTCAAGACATGTATTGCATGTGGATGATATAGAAAAGAAAAACCTTTCTTATAATGCACTGTAGTTGTCTGTGTTGCTAATGTTCTTATATTAATGTAATTACCTGCTTTGCTCAGGAAATGTGTACCCAATGAAGACCATAAAAACAACTAGAAAATTATCAGATAGAACATCTTTTTACCTTACACTGTAAATTTTTGAAAATATATGCAATAAATTCATATAATTTTACGACACTTAAAAAAACACTTTAATTAGGGAAGATGCCTGCCTTCTGGGTTGCAGCACCAGGTAGAAGTGGTAGAAGTTTACCAACATTTCAGAGGTCCTTGTTGCCTCCATCACCAAAGTAATAATTCTTTATCACTAGGAAAAGTCACAGTAGTACTTTATGGACATATTCAAACATTAAAAATAAGAAACTGGTAAGCCATCTGTCAAAATACTGATCTTGAGTTTCAATCTAAGGACAATCTGAATGTTATTTGGACACTATACATTCTGAGGTACTCATTTTATATGCAGTGTTTATTTTCTTATATCCTTGCTGAAGAACATCAACTGCAAGTATTTCAGTATGGAATGTATGAACAAGAAGACATACTACAAGGCAACAGTCAAATCATTATCCATACCTTTCTTACTATACTTTCATCGTTTTGAGCTTTCTTTTGAACAGAGATGGTCTTTCCTGCGAGAGATGTTTCCAGCTGTCTGAAGGGAGTTGGTAAGTAGTTACACTGTGTGAAGAACTTCCTCCATTCTGCAATATAAGCCTTAAGAAGTGCTTGATCCTCCTGATGTGACAGTACTCGCTGGAAAGAACACAATTATAAAACTGAAATGAAAAGACAGATAACAATATATATGCTTAACCGCTTTCTGATTATTCAAAAATACTTAAGGTTGATAATTTTTACAAAAATATTAACCAAAGTTAATTCGGGACAATACATATATATAATTTTTTTGTACTGCATCTTCTTCCATCCATAGTAACTACTGACTTACCCTTAATGGCTTCTGAACATAATCCTACACCATGAGCTACACTACAGAAAATTAAAAAAAACAAGAAACAATGCTCCTGATTTATACTCCTTGGCTTTGGACTGTCCAATTATACCTACAAGTACTTTGTCATCGTTAAAAACAATCACAGTTGTCTATTATGTTATCACCAATTTTATGTAACCTTCCATTCCTAGTTGTTAGTCTTCCTACATTTGCACTGAAATCGCATAAGAGAATGTAGTATATAGTACATAGAAATTGATTCAATACAAGTTCTAGTTCCTCATATAATTACATCTTCTATCATCACTTTCATCCTTAGTACAAGCATACACATTGAAAACATGATCACACCAATGACCTCTTAGTAAAACACAATGAATCACTACAAAACACTATACTCTTATTCCAATTTAAATATAATTTATTGATAGGCATGTTTTTAACTATGACTGCTATTTCCTGTATGCCTCAAGCTATACACACACAGTGAATGACATGTTCCGTTGTCAGCATATTACTTATCACCTGTTGAGCTTTTTTGATAAAATCCATTATGTCATCCTTCAGCGAATCTTTAACCTTTGGTGGTCCCTTCTCATCCCACAGGCACACCAAATGTACAGAATAAAAGAGTTCTTGCCATTCAGTCTGCGTTACTGGCTCCTGCTGCAATAATTTAAGGATGATAGGCCTCATGGCTGGCCATTTATCCTCAAACAAAAGTTGTCCCTTATCCTGAAACAAAACATTCTGTCAAATCATACATTTTCTTTTCGCATTTCGTTACTGAAGGGTTGGAAATTCTATACCAAAAAAAGTAAAAGTAGTATCTACTATAAAACTTTAGTTTCACTTGAACTAATGCCAATATTTACTTAATTTTATAACAATTTCAGTGAAAGTCATATACCCACATAAACAAGTCACCACAGGTATATAACAATGCAGTGTTAAAGGAAACTGTTTATTCAAATAAAGGTATCGATTGGCAAGTTATGTCCCATTTTAAATTTACTGCATTTTATGTACTCCACTAATGTGACAGCATTGCTCATCCTTTACACCGGTTAACTCTCCTACCTTTAACATAGCCGACATGACAGTTTGAACTTGACGAAATGAGTGCTTAGTTTTGTGCATGTAACATCAAAAATTATATTTTCATGGCATGCAGCTACTTATTAATAAATTCTACATATTTTAAAATTGCAATACGTTTGAAGTTGTTTAGCAATTAAACGAATTAGACAGTAGCTACGAACACTTTTTTTCAGAATGTCTACCCAGCAGTGGTTTGAAACTATGTACAAGCTGGGTCAAAATGCATTGGCGACATCTATTTGCAGCATTGTACACTCTTTAGTATTCGTGGATAATATGTGACCTTTGTAATTTCTAACCTCTGCTGGGGTTTTGTAACTGAATAAGGGAAGAGGAAAATATAAACTCGCCATACCAATCCGTAGTGAAGTGCACGCTTTCTTGCTACACGTTAATAATTTGTGATCTGTCTGTTATCGGTTACTACTTGCGATCGCTTACCATAATGGGTTTGCAACCGGTATTAGAGAATGGAAGCATGAATTCACGACATCTATCCGCAATGGAGTAGTGGTACTTGAAAATAGTACACAATATTGGTGAAAGGTGCTCCTAGTCGCCAAGAGCCAATGTTGATATTAATCTGTGCCTAACAGCAATCTGTAACAGGAAAGTTGAAAGATGGAGGTTGGTGATGGCGAGGGTGGTATATTGGGTGATGGT